ATAAAAATACTGGAATTTTGCATAAAGAATAATTTCTCTATAGTATTCCTAATTATTGCCGCTCAAGTATTTCTTAATCTTATAAACAAAAGCCTTTTTAAGCCGAGTAAGCTTTAAGGCTTAATTAAATTGTCCTTCAGGATGCTTAGTTAATAGTTGTGTCATCATAATTTAATTGTACAATTTTATACTGGCATGGTTTTTTTTCCAACCTAAACCTAGTCTAGGATGTCTTATTTACGCCGTCACACACGTAGCTTTATTAAATCTTTATATATAAAAATTACCAGTCACATTGTTTATCCGCGACGAACTCCTAAACTATTGAACTGATTTCAATGAAATTTTGCACACTGTGTTCAGTTTGGTCCAACTTGAGAGATAAGATATAATATATAATATACTTACGCCAGTATATTCTAAGTCTATGGATGAAGACAAATGACGAACTAACCTTTATAATACTTCACAGCTATAATATTTTGACGTAATACGATTCTAACCTCCGTCTATCCATCCATTATAGCCTATAAAAGCCCACTGCTATAAACAAAGGCCTCCCGCAATTACCTCATGGGGAGATATTGCCATAGTTGCCACGCTTGGCAGGCGGGCTATCAACCGCAGTTCTTTATAATTTTGTGTTTTTATCAGGAAGATGCTGTTGCCCATTTGTTTCAGTTTCTCTCTCTCGCCTCTTACGACACCCACGGACCGATGTGGTGTAGTGATCTTTTGTCATATTGTTTTCAAATATTACAGCGATACAAAGTGATCCATTTTCCGTGAGTAACGTCCAAATAGTATATAAATACTATGTTTTAGTATCGTCTTTGATGAATGTAGGTTTTCCCACGATTTATTCTACCACCTGAGCGGCGCCATTAGGAATGAGGTGAAGAACCTATAATATTTTAAAGATTTCATGTCGAAAGAAGTTCGGAAAATGTTAATGTTTATATTTTATTATATTAATTCGACTATAAACGGATGAAAAAAATTACGGGTTTTTCTAAAAGAAGAAAAATTTATATTAAAAAATGTTTTTTAAATATCCTAAAAACCGATTTATTTAATTAAAAAAGCAACTTCTTAATTAAGGTAACGGTGTAAAACACCAGTGGCGGATCCAGGATTTTAGTTTGGGTGGGGCTTGATCTAGCTGAAGTATCAACAAACTCTAAAACACTAAAAAAAGCACACAACCTCGGATAAGTTTTTGCGATCTCTTTTATGGTTTGGGGATGTTGTAGGCTGCTAGATGTATCTTGGTGAATATACATGGCAGCCTAAACCACCAAAACCTTCAGCCTGTCTTCCGTCACCGGAGCTCCACATTACATGTGGATAAAGCAACAATTTGTAAAAGAACTTTAAAATTTGGGAAAATCGATTTCCAGCGCAAGCAGTTGATGTACAAATCACTGCCCTTCGCTGCGGCTCTGTAAGAACAGCAAAGAAAAACTGCAAGTTGTACTCGAAGTAGATAATCTGATAATAACCAAATCCACAACAGCTATACATTATCTTCGGAACTACTTTACAAGGATTTTTACAGATAATTGATCTATTTTAGATATATAACGCTGTATAAAAAATAAAATTCACAGATGATTGATCATTTATTATGTAAATAAATAATTCAAAAAAAAATTAATTAATATTTCAAAATAATTTATTTACATAATATTCAAATGTATACAATATTTATTATCTTCTTCAAAACTAAAACTAAAAACTTAAAGTAAGTTATCATACAGTCCTACTCCTAGCGTTATAGTGCCGAAACGCTGGCTGCATTTCCTCGCTGAATGATTATACTTAGACTTTAAGCGAGAAAAGAACCAGCCCTCATATCACCAGCAGCGACGACCACTCGCAGACCCAGTTTCTTTAGGTACTTCACCGCACGTGGATCCTACGGACCGATAGTCTCTACAGCAAATGACACAAATATGTAGCCATCTCTTAGAGACTCATATTTGCGCCATTTAGTTCATCTTACTTAGGCCTCTGATGACACCCTGGCTCTAAACAAGGCACCCCTGAGATGAGAGACTGCCAAAGTAGCAAGGAGCATTAAAGCTTTCCCTCTGCTCTAAGAAACCAAAGTCATACCGTCGGGTCTCTTACCAACATCTCTAAATATTTTACAAGGCTCTAAAACCGAGCGAACATTTATAGAGATGAGTGTTCTTCAGATAACATCGTTCAAAGAACCGTGACGGGACAATCTACCAGCACTTTTCTTACACGAAAGTTGAGCGTGGAGCGCGTTACGTGGAGCCTAAACTTGTGACGCTGCTACCATAAAAGCAATAATGATGTTGGTAAATAGCCGCTCCTAGCCGGATTCATAAGGCTATGCGCAATCTTTGCCCATCAAGTAACGTGCCGAGATTACTTGATGGTAAGGCGTGTAACTAGATTCCTTAGTCGAAACAGAACAGAACGAAATTATGAAACAAATCTGCCTGTACACTCCGTACTAACCATTTCTGTTGTTTAACTTCCAGCGGAACATTTTCACCGGGACAGAGCGTTTGCCATGTCAACGCCATCGAAGCCAACGCTCCGTCGCCCCCGTTCTCTAATCCAAATCCCCGAAAACTTTCAGTTTGAGTTACAAAATGGTTTTCAGTGCCTAGAAGACACAGCACAGTACAATGGACGATATAAATGGCAAGCTCGTGCAAATTGTTCATTGTTCTGCGGTCGCAGCTAAGTTTTGCATGACCCTTCGCAGAAGAACACAAAAATTCTCCCATCACACTCTTAATCTCATGGCTGTTAGACGGGAAATGAAGCTGTAGACTTCAGCAGATTTGACAGCATACAGGCAACTGAACAGACATATTTCCAAATGCATGCGGCGGGACTTACACAACTTCAATACAGCTCGTATTGAAGAAGCTTTTATACGTGGTACATGCTGCAGATATATTTCTGGTATAGTTGTAATACGAATGGGTCGGCTCGACCGGGGAAGGACCACGCTCTCACAGAATACCAGCGTAAAATAGCAGGTTAATGCTGCTGTGTTTCGTATGGTGAGTGTAGAGAACCGGAGACCCTTTTTACTTGAAACGAGGCATTCCATCTTAATCCTCACGGGTGACAACGCATCTGCATTTTGATTCGTAATTGAGGATAAATGTAGATTTCTATGGGCCACAGCAACCACTTACCATTAGATGGACTGTGTGCTCGTTTGTCATCCTTATTCTATAAAAAAAGCGATTGGGCAGAACCAGGGCTACAAAGTCTTTGCCAGAGATCTATTATCTGCCAGAGAAAGTCAACTGTCGAAGCTGAAGACCGAATGTGGCAGCATTGTTTCCGGGATACCTGAGATTTTGAGTGAGATTGAAAGGTTCTATCATAGATATATCATAGGATTGAATAACCGAAAAAATTATAGTTAAAACGGTAAGAGGTGTAATATCATTATTTTAATTTTCGATACCTTAAAATAAAGGTACTTTTAAATTTCTATACCTTAAAATAACTGTACCTGTATAATTTTGATATTGTAATATTGCGGTATCATTACTTTTTCAAGTATCTAAATTATAAAATAAAGGTTTTCTTTATAAATACTGCCAACTTAATATACCATTGTATAATTGTATGAAACTAAGGAAGAAGATGCAATGCCTTGTTTATCGTGCAAGATAGACGCCTACGTGTTTGTTTATATCTAATTACGAGTATGTTTCGTGTTTTTGTCTCAATTAAATTTATTTGAGAGAATATTCTATCGCCTGCTGAATCCAGTCCTATTTTTTGATGTTTACTAGCGGCATGCTCTTTTAAAGCGGACAGCCGGGATGCCAATTTGCAGTTTTTTTTAATAGAAAAATGGAGACACACTTTCCACCTAATGGTAAGTGAATGCGGTCCATAAATATCTACATTTATCTTCAATTAATGTCTGAAAAATGTCTCATTTCCAGTAAAAAGGGTCTCCGGTTTTCTACACTCACCATACGAAACACAGCAACATTAAGCTTAGCAGCTGCTATTTCACGCTGGTATTCTGTGAAAGCGTGGTTCTACACCGGTCGAGCCGACCCATTCGTGCTACAACCATAATACCAAATTAAAATACATTCTGTGTACTAAATATCGGGAATTTGTCAATAAAACAAAAAATACAAATTATTCATCTAAATTTATTTTATCGCCTTTAAAGTAGGCCCCATCGCCTGCAATACAACATCTCCAACGCTTCACCCAGTCTTCCATACATTTTTCATAGGCTATTTGCGGTATGGCCTTTAGCTCATTCAGCGAATTTTTTTTATGGCTTCTATCTACTCAAAACGTTTTCCTCGAAGTGGTAATTTTAACTTGGGAAATAAAAAAAAGTTAGACGGAGCCATATCAGGTGAATACGGTGCTTGGTCGAGAACTTTTGTTGAATTTTTCGCTAAAAACTCTTTCACTATAATGGCTGTGTGTGATGGTGCATTATCATGGTGCAGCATCCATGAGTTGTGTTGCCACAAATCTGGACGTTTTCGGCGGATACTCTCACGCAAACGCTTCATGACGCCTAAATAATATTCTTTATTCACTGTTTCTCCCTTTGGAAGGAATTCGGAGTGAACCACACCACGGTAGTCAAAAAAAACTGTCAGCATCACCTTGATTTTGGAGCGACTTTGCCGCGGTTTTTTGGGTTTCGGCTCGTTTTCGAGACGCCATTCTGAAGACTGTTGGCTTGTTTGCATGTCGTACTCATAAACCCATGTCTCGTCGCCAGTTATAATACGTTTCATAAAGGTCGGATCCGTAGAAGCTCGAGAAACCATGTCTTCAGCGACATGCTTTCGCTGCGCTCTTTGAACAATATTGAGCTCTTTTGGAACTAGTCGAGCGGCGACGCGTTTCATGCCTAAAATGTCAATGAGAATGTTGTGGACGGACTTAAAAGATATGTTCACCTCACTAGCCAATTCTCTCAGACTCATACGTCGATTTTCGAGCACTAGCTTCTAGATTTTGTCGATGTTTTCTTTGGTCGTAGCGGTTGAAGGTCTACCAGAACGAGGCAAGTCTACTACTACTTCTCGGCCTTCTTTAAAAGCCTTATACCATTCATAAGCCCTTGTTTTCGATATACACGATTCGCCGTAGGTATTTCGCAACATTTTTAGTGATTCACCACATGAAATATCATTCGAAACACAAAATTTAAGGCACACTCTTTGTTCAACAATATTTTCCATTGTAAAAATCGCCGAGAACTCAAAACTATGACCAACAAAAAGTGTAGTTTAAAACAAATTAAATGACAGATCCCGCTCAAATTTTGCGCGCTAAATCAGTACAGTGCTACCAACATGCAGTAAAAAAAATTAGAACGACCTCTTTTACGCGGGTCTTTTTATTGACATATTCCCGATACTTTTTACACAGAGCTGTACATCTCTTCTTTGACTGATTGAAATATTAATCATAAACTCGCGTTTATGAGTACTCGTTTTAAGATTGATAATCTAATAACTTTACACCCAAACTTTTTAAGTTGTTTATTGAATGTGATACAAACATAACAATAGAAGTACAGGAAAATCCTACACATGCTGCCAAAGTACCTAGGGTTGCCATTTTCGACATTTTAAGTTGCCATAATGAAATTTATTTTTAATACCCCAGTACTGCCAAATATTGCCAGGTTTTATAAAACGTCAACCGATCATGCCAGAGGCTAAAAAAAGAGGCCAATCCTGCCAAAATGGCAGGAACCTGCCACATATGGTCACACTGCTGGCAAGCAAAGTCGCCGCACCGCTTTTCGTCGCATAATTTTTTCGGTGCCGGTTCGGTACTGTATCGATATATTAGTAATAAATCGATAAATATTACCACATGTACCACAACCGTAATACTCAACCGTTTTGGTTCTACCATTAAATCGAGGCTATATCGTAATTCTATATCGGTACCATAGCTATACCGCTTTCAACCCTCGTTTCGATGGGTAGCTGTGTCATCTTTGGAGACACACGCAAGTGTGAACAACGATCTAAGATCAAGTCTTATCCGACACTATTCCGACTATTTCCTTAGGACGTTAGTCTGAGTGAAATTATAATGGCTCTCCAGCACCTTAAAACGGCAAGTCCCCGAGCGACGATGGAATTACAGCGGAGCTTCTGAAAGCCGATACTTGAAGTCATTCAAAAGCTCCTTAATTCCATCCTCCACAATGGCCCTCCTCCAGAGGCGTGAAACAGAAGTGAGGTGGTCTTGTTTTTCAAGAAAGGCGACATCGTTTTCTTGAAGAACTTCAGACTGATTTTCCTTCTAAGCCGCGTCTACGTGCTGTTTTCGAGAGTCTTTACGAATAGCCTCGCACGCGGACTCGACGATTTCTAGCCTCCCGAACAAGCCGGTTTCCGAAAAGGCTTTAGCACTATGGACCACATACCTGTTGCCAAATTGTACCATCTGACACTTTGTCTTGCGTATGTGGACTACGACAAAGCCTTTGATTCCGTCGAAATTTGGGCGGTGCTGCAGTCCCTTCAGCGGTATCAAGTTTACTGTCGGTATATCGAAGTGCTAATATGTTTGTACAGCAGGGCTACAATGGCTATCCGAGTACAGAACCAGAGTGCGAAATATCCAACTGCAGAGAGGTGTAAGACAGGGTGACGTTATATCCCCGAAACTTTTCACCGCTGCATTGGTAGACCTTTTCATGGACTGGAAAGGATTCAGTATTGACATCAACGGCGAGCACATCACTTACCTTCTATTTGCCGCCGATATAGTTTTTATGGCAGATTTGTTGTAGGACCTATGAACTTGCTCAGTGAACTCAATAGTGTCTCCGAACGGATATGTCTTGACTTGATGAACTTGACTTGATGAAGACAAGTTGAAGTTGAACATGGACAAAACAAAAGATCATGTGTAACGTCCATGTTCATACCTATGCCGGTAGTTGCTGGGCGCACTAAGCACAAAGTTGTTGATGAGAATATTTACCTGGGACAAATTTTCCGACTAGGTAAATTTAACTTCGACCGAGAGGTCAATCGACGGATTCAACTTGGCTGGGCAGCGTTCGGGAGATTACGATCGTCTTCTCGTCACGTACGAGTATACCTCAATAATTGAAAAAGAGATTTTGCAAACAATACATGTTGGCAATGATGACTTATGGATCTGAGACGATGTCCTTCACTGCTGGCCGTATGACGACGCTCAAATTCGCTCAGCGAGTTATGCAAAGGGCTATATATTATAGAGAGGCCATTGTTCAGCAGTTGACTTGTGATAATAATGGTGGTGAATAGAATAATTTAGCAAAATAAAGTCCGGCAAGAATGTTTAGCATTTTTTGTTATATTTGGGGGGTGCTTGATAGAGAACCGCCCTGGGTGTTAACCCACGCTACGCCGCCACTGCTTTCAGCAACACAATCTTCTTTGCCTTCACTAGAATACTTATTACAATGAACAGAACCACGATACTGTCATTCTACGAGTCTTAGTACTCGTTATGGAGGGTAGAGAGGTAAAGAGGACTATCTCTCTGAAAAAGTGTCCATATATCTATGTATATATAGCACATAATTTTTATTTTCTTTTTATTTTAATTTTAATGTGCGTTTGCATATACATATAATGGACGCACTTCTTTTATTTATTCTAATTTTTGTTTGTTTGTTTGTTTGTTTATAAGTCACTCGTTTTATTTTTGTGTATAGAAGATGTAAGTGTTGGAATAAATGTCTTTATGTCTATGTCTATTATCCATACAGCTGCCCATGCGAAAAGCACGGAGTGCCCGTAAGAATAGCCGCCCCTTTTAAAGTTTGACCCTCTAACACAATAAACTGTAATCCTGTCCTGCGCAAATGGCTAGTCTCCGTTGAGACTAGTCTGGACAACGTTATTTATTACAGTAATTATCGATGAAGAAAGCTTTGAATCGACGACTACTAAGTCTAATATTTTATTTATTTATTTTATTAACAGATACATTTTTGGCAATAGCACTGCCCTCTCACATAACTATATCACTTCTAACTATAATCTTCGTTATTGATACTACTTACACTATTATTACATTTGGTAAAACTTTCACTGTTGGCCCTGTGTCTTGCGTGTGACTTGTCGCCACTTGATGGCGAAATCCATATAAAATTTACATTTTAAGGTACCATTCCGTAGTCGACCGCAGACTGCAACTGCAGACGATACGTCGCTGCGGTCATGATTCCGAACCCGACTGCAGGCGGCAGCAGCACGTGTTCCAATCTGTTGCGAAAGCTCTGTGGGTACTCTATTTATGTAAACAAAATAGGTACTATATATATATAAAGATATATATATATATATATATATATATATATATATATATATGTATATACCTATTTATCGCTTTTATTTAACTCCTTTTCTATATTTTTTTTCAAAATTTTCTTTTGTCACACTATTTGAATAATTATTGTGAGAAGCATCGTACAGTGCGGGATATTGGACCACCTGGTTTATCAGTTTCTCTTCCACGGAATCGGTGAAATTCATTTTTTGAGAAAAATTCAACGTGTCGCTCTGCGGTCGGGGGACATGTCGTCTGCCGCTCCGGCAAACGACGTGTCGCTAGCCATAAACACCAGTCGTGATGCGACGACACGTCGCCTGCCGCTGCTGCGTGCGGTTGGCTACGGAATTGTACCTTTACTATCTACGCCCGCGTAATTTAGTTTTTCCACGACGCCTTGATACATGTGTTCATGCGGTGTGCCTCTCACTAACACGGTGGTAGAGCTACGCGGCAGCTCTTGCTGTTGCACGTATGGGCCGGCTCGAGCCGGGTTGCTACCACGACCTCACATAATACCGGCGTGAAGTAGAAGCTCTGTTTCTGCGTTTCGTCTAGTGAGTACAGGCGGTCGGAGGCCCAATTCCCCCTCCCCCTCCCATCACCATGGTAAATAAAACATTACCCCAGGAGGGTACCAGTACCCCTGGAGAATCCCTAGCTGAGCATCCGCGACTAAGCTACTCCACTCCTAAATGGGGGAGGGGGGGGGGGGGGAAATTCCGCTCAAAACAATAACTGCTCGGGGCTAACTGAGCAAAAAGACCAAGGCGACCCCTGCCACGCTATCCGTGAATTTATGAACGTCAGGGCCCTTCATTCGAACCTAAACGCCGTCCACTACCATCTCGAGACGGTGAAGCCTTCCTTGCTCTTTCTGACCGAGATACATGTGTCCTGTCCGGCTGATACTTCGTATCTCTCCTATCCGGGTACAAATTGGAACACACCGTTGTACCTTGGTCTGGAGTATGCCTATACTTGGAGCATCGCAGACCAGCGAAAGGAAGCAGTAATTGATTCAGAGAGATCATTTCAACTGAGAACAGTTACTAGCCAACGGGTGCCAATATTTGGCAACACGGACGTTGAAATTAATATTGGGAAACGGACGTACTTTAACCGTGTACTGATTGCTCGTATCAACGAGCACTGCATCTTAGGACTGGATTTCTTGAAGAATCAGCGGTGCGTTGTAGATATTGATCAAGGATTACTTAAATGTTCTGATCAAGGAGTGGTTTTAGGGGGATCCAGCCCTGATAAAGTTTACTGTTTAAGGGACATTGCGCTGGTACCAGGGTCGGAGAGTCCTATAATATCATCAGTTCCAGTCTAGCTATCAATTTGTAGGCCAAGATCTTTTACAGACTTACTGAACGTAATTATAGTACCATTGTAATAAATGGGAGATAGGTCTGCAAGATTAATCTTAGCTAGCATCCATGAGCTACCCACTAGTATAGCTTGGCATTTTAAAGGATTGACCAAAACTCCATAACGAGTAGACCAATGTTTGATAGCTGATAAGTTGTCGTTTATTTTTTTAATCCCATTATGGATATCCCCAATTTCAGCTGGTACGTATAGCTGAAGGATATAGGTATACAGATGGGCTGGGTACGAAAAGAAGATACACGGTCATATTTACAAAGACCATAAATGTATTTCGTGCAGGTGTTAAGGAGACGATCCAATGTGTTAAGATGTTGTTGAGATAAGTTGCTAAGCTCAACAACAGACATCGACATAGTCTATTATCGGCTGAATAAGAGATAGAACAAGCAAAACTTTTGTAGCGGTTGGAAGAAAAAATTTCGAGTGATAAAGAGATCACAATGTTGCCGTAACTTTGCGACTTACTTTCTGGATATGTTTGTTCCATAAA